TAAACTGTAAATTTTCTAAAAATTAAAAATTCAAATTAAATTATATAAATTATTTGTTTTCTCAATTTTTACTAAAAATGGACTTACACCATTTTTATAACAGATGGTTTATACATTTAATTAATTTTTTTAATGAATTTCATACTTAATATGGTGATCTCATGTAATATATGTATTATATATATATTGTATTATAATATAAAATATTATAATATAATATAATATAATATAATATAATATAATATAATATTAAAAATTAAAAAATGTATATAAATCTCTTTCAACCAAAATTATTAAAATATGCTCCATGTTTACTTACTCAAATGATGTCATTTAGCAACTCATATTACATTAACACAATTACATGAAAGAATTATGTTAACATAATCTAAAAGTTCATGGTATATTCTAAATGATTTTCAAAATCAAATAAAGCAATTATTACATAATGTACTCACCTGTACACTGTTCAGTTCATCTTCATATCGCCTTAGACGTGACACCTCGGACTTCAAGCTATCAATTTCTGCAATGGCTGTCTTTAAGTGTTGCGTCTTTTCATCCACTTCTTGTTCCTTGACTAACAACTTGAATAAATAGAAAAAAGTATATAATAACAATAACATTTATTAACACTAATAAATTAATAATAACACATAATAGAATATTATATAAAACATACTAAATGTTTGACTTTTGCTAATTCTTGTATTTGCAAATCTTCCAGTTGGCCTGCATCTTCTTGAAAACTATACAATTTCTTTTTATATTCTAAAACAAAGTAAAACAAATAAAATGTAAAGCCTTATTTTTTAATTATAATTTTAAATACAATTTTGATGTAACATATAAAATTGATTCTAAATAGTTTGAAGCTAACGAACTTAAATATTTACTATTGACTTTACATTTAACTTCTTTAATAATTACATATTTATCTACATAATAACGCATACCTTCAGCATCCTTCAGTGCTGATTCCAATGAATGTTTTGTGCGTTGTACATTTTCTAATTCTTCTTCTAATTTACTTTTTTCTTTTTCTTGCTTTTCAACTACTTTCTTCCATTCTTTTTCATTTTCAAGTAACCTTACTTTCCAATCTTCTTCTTTTTTTTCCATCCGTTTCAACATTTCTGTCTCCTTTTTAGCTAATCTTTTTCGCCATTCTTCTTCTCTAATTTCAAACTTCTTAATGTCTTTTGCAGAAAGTTGCATACCATCACTTAATTTAATGTCAAAACTATTATCTCTTTTTAAAGATATTGGAGGAGAAGGTGATGCTGCATTTTCTTCACGCAAACCATCTAATGATATTTGCGATCCACTAATACTACTTGTAGATCCTGCCTATAAAATGTTTGTGATTATTTCCTATTATTCCTTTAACATAACAACAACAGATTATATTAAGTATTGAGTCATGGATATAAATTTCTAAAATTTTAATAAAAAAAAAATTTTCCATCAAACAAAACTAAATAATATCACGAAAATATGCCCTGTATTTAAATGAACTGAGAGATATACCACTAGTGGACATTTTATCAAGTTTCAAACCATTATCATAACAAGAAGATAAATATATGCAGGTAATACTAATGAATTGTCTGGAAAACATACGTACAAATGACGAGTAATATTTAATTTAAATTACTCTTTGTGTTTTTTCGATAATTGATAATACTTTGGAAAATTTATCACTGTCCATTAATAAATCAGTCGTACATTTATAGCCGTAATATCGCTTCGTATCGATAATGTTCCAACGGATAAAAGTAATATGTTTACCTGAGACATATGCCTAGAATTAATACCGCGCACGTTGCCGGCATTTCTAACAACGGTTGACACATCACTCCCAATTTCCTCTCGTATCTTATTTTTTAGTGTTGCAAACATAGTGCAATAACCTCCAAAAGGATGAACAAGAATTGTCAACTACCACCTGTCAACGTCGATGTTGTGCTGACTTTGGGCTCGTGTACCAATGCAGCGTTAAGAAAAATTAGAGAATAAAAGCTTTATGTGACAGTAATTCATTCTTCAACGATATACTGGCTAAGTTGATCTCATTGAGTCATCGTTAAATTATGCGGTACACTCACAGCAATAAAAGTTTTACGAACAATTCGCGTGCACATCAAAGGCAGACGACTGCCATACTGGCTACTCATGAGTTTAAGTAACCACTAGTTTGAAGTTCGATGTGTGTGTAAGTTGAGTTTCCCGTTTCGTAAAATTAACACATCAAAGGTGTTCAGCGCGAAATGTAAATAATTGAGAAGTATTCTATATAAGGTATATTGAAAATAGGCGATTTATGGGGGAATATTCTAAGCGATATCTAAAAAATGCTCAACACGTGTATGCTTCGATAAAACATAAATGACAAATAATTACATAATATTATTACTGTTTTTCACTGAATTATAGTTCGGTACGATCGTACATTCTTATAATCGTTATCCAGTAAAAGTGTCGCTTTACTAGGAATATTTTTTTATAGGGTAAATTTGAATGGTTAATGTTGGCAACAATATACGAAAAACCTTATGGCGCGTGTGATGGATGCATTGAGCATTTCCAGTATTTTCAAATTTAACGGTTTAGAAATGTACGTGAAGTTTGTGTAGGTCTAATTTTTCGTGTATTTTTTAAATGTTATTTCCTTTTGACAATTTGGATAAAAGATGGCAGACGTCTGGGATGAAACTGCAGCAGGAAAGAGTATTTTCGATTTGTAAGTAGATTATAACACTATAAATACTTTATTATTTTGCTCTGTACGGCAGGGGGTCTGGTTTCTTTATAAGTTATCTCTTAGAAACCTTAGCAATCTATTTTTTGATATTTATTTTTTGATATCTATTTTTTAATATTTATTTTATGTATCACGTTATTTAATATAATTGTTGTGAGTGGAATGTTCTTTTACATTTAAGAAAAAAGTTATTATCATTTAGCAAAGTGAGTAAAATTTTTTAAATGATTTCAAAATACTTTCCATGTATTTTTCAATGTATATTAAACAATATTATTTAGTATCAATAAATACGATACTTTTGATCAATAATTATGACGTAGTAGTAGAAAATAATCTTACCGACAGTCTTCAATAAGATACATGGCCAACATGATAAATAGATACAATTCAGCATTATCAATTACTTTTTATTTCAAGTTTGTAAATTTATTCATTAGAAGGAAATTACTTGTTAATAATGTGTAAAATATATAAAGTGTTAAATATCTTTACATACAATTTCAAAAAATTAAATTTTAAAATTAAATAGATTCT